CCGGCTCTCAGTTCAGGGAGCTCACCGCAGGGCCCTGTGACCAGTTTTGAGAGGGGATGACTAGCACAACGCCCAGGGCCTGTCACTGAGTGAGCTTGTGACCTCCAGCCGTTTCCTCTCGGCAGAAGGGTTCTAGGCAGCAGGCCCATGGTCAGCTGGCTTCCTCCCACCTCCAGCTCCCAGGGCGCTGCTCACGTGGCCCCGACATACACTGTGCCCCTGGGGGCTCACAAACCTGCCTGCAGGCTCTGGTCCATCCACCTGGGCACAGCCAAGGCCCCACATCCTGCCATGGGGGAGGCACGCGGGAGGCGGGCAGTGGCTGCAAGGCTCCAGGACCACCTCTCCCAGCCAAGGCCTGCCAGCCAGGACAGCAGACACGTGGGGTCAGACCGGGGGTTGTACCCGTGTTCCTGGGACCTCCTTTCCCCCAGCTTGCAACCTTCAGTTTGCATGGGAATCCCGGGAGGGCACGTTCAGGCAGGTTGCCAGCCCCAGCCGGCGTTGGAGTGTCTGACTGGGACCCCGCTTTGAGAACTACTGCTCTAAGTTAAACCTCTTCAATGCCCAGAGCCCCGCCTCACCCATCGGGCCTTATCTAGTGGACACCAAACTGGCCTCAAAGGCTTTTTTTCTCTCTTGTGGTTTCTAACGTCTGCCTGCCGGCCGCCTCCTGCCCAGCAGACTCCTTTCACACCTTTCTGCTCACAGAGCAGGTGCTTACTGAGTGCTCACCTGGGGCCGGGTCAACTTGTCAGCATGGACCGTGAAGGGGCAGGAGCCCGGCTGCGTGGTCCCGAACGGCTTCCCCTAGTCACCGCACACACACACACGTGCTCACACCCAGGCTGAGGGGCGTCACCTCGTCCCTACTAACAGCAGGAACTGGGCCCAGGCAGGCGAGTGGTTCCAAGCGTCACCGCTGGCAGACACGGAGGGACTCGCCCAGTCTGTCACTGCAAGGGCTGCTCTGGGACGTCACACGCTCCTGCCCTCACTCCGACAGAGACCAGATGGAGGAAGTGCCGCTGGACGGATGCAGGGAGGGAACGAGGAACCCTGGTTCCCGCGGGAGGAGGTTCCCACAAGCCCGCTCCCCACCTGAGGC